CTCGGCAGCAGCTCCCAATGCTGCCAGCGGATTTTTTGGCACGGCTTTGTGGTACGGTAACTTAATGAGCATAACACCGTCTCCTCTGTGGCTTGTTCCCTGCCGGCAGCTACTTGAGCAACTCCTGAAACCACGGGCCCAAAGTGCCAGTGCTGCAGGAGTTCATGCCACAACAAGATTTTTGCTGCAGCTGTAAGCGTTCAGCTTCCCCGCGGACACCCCACCACAGCGACCCAGCTGCAGCAGCGATGAAAGGCACGTTCCTTCAAAGGAGTGAAGTCCTCTGAGGAGGGGAAATCCCAGCTCTCAAGTCGCTGTTACTGACACCGCGAAGGATTCAGGCACTTACACTCAGTAACAAGCTGTCCTGCTCCAAGTCACCGACTGGCACGTGGGCGCTGTGGGCTGCGGGAGCTGGGATGTCTCACAGAGTGTGTCCGGTGCTGAGCTGTGGAGATAAGAGAGCACAGGTTTTACTGGGATCTCTGAAGAACCCACACAGGGTATCGGGCAGCCCCCTCTGCTGAGGAATGTTTCAGCCACCCAGTGTAGATGTCCATCCAAGAAGTGGGAGGGAGGACCGTGGCTTCCCAGGGAGAGACAGAGGCCTCAGGAAGGCACTTGCTGCCCACAGCGTAACGCCACCAATTGCTGCCAGCGCAGCGTTCAAAATCACGCTAGACCAAGGGGAATCATGCTAGACCAAGGAGGCTGGCGCTTAAATCATGACTCAAAAAAACCCAGTTTAAGTACTTAATTTGCTGAAACATCTCCTTCAGCATCCGCCAAGACGCTTGCGTGGCCCCAGGCGGCTGGTGCAGGTCTGCGTTCCTTAGGATGGTGCCCAAAGAGCCCTCCTGGGAGCCCCTGCGAGGGCTATGCTCCCTCCTCCTGCTCCCCACGGGGTTGGATGAGATGATCTTTCGAGGTCCCTTCCAACCCCTAACACCCTGCAATTCTGTGATACAGGCGCAACTGGGAAGGGGCAGCGCTGGTGCCATGAACCACAGCATCTCATGCCTGGAAAGCGGAGAACAGGGCAGAATCCCTTGCTTTTATTTCTCCAGCCAGACCAGAAATAACACAAGTCCCCAGAGTGCAGGGGAAGCAGCTCCCTGCTGGGAAATGCTGCTGGGCTGCTGGAGAGTAACACCTGCCCCCAAAACAGCTCTGAGCAAGGCAGACTCTCCCTGCTTCCATCCCGCTCGTCCCTCTCCAGCCCTGCGAGGCGACGGCCAGGGGCTGGTGGCTGCTCCATGCCCCCTCCCCAGGACAGGAAAAGGACTCACTTTCCCTGTGTGTGGTTATAAAGCCACAAACCCACGCACTGAGCTCCAGAGCGGGAGCGAGAGGGAAAGAACCCGGCTTGGCTCTGGAGATGTCTCGGTGCTTGGGGCAGGCGTGGCGGCCGGCCGGGGCGGCTGGCACGGCCG